CGCCCCGCCCCGCCCCGCCCCGCCTCTTGGGCAGCAGCGTCCCTCAGCCGGGGCTTGGGCACCCGGTGTGGGCATGTGTACATGCAGGTGCCCACCTCTGAGTTGGCCCCGGGTGCCAGGGCTTAAGCCAAAGCACCTGGAAAAGTGATCCCGGGATAAACCGAGAGGAGCAGCATAGGCACAGGAGAAACCGCCCGGTGCATAGTCTTAGCCAGATGTGCAGGCAGGGGGCGAATTCATGGACCTTGGGGGCCTGAGCCCCCCCATAAGAAACGAGAGCCCTCCCCTCGTAAGATTTGAAAATCATAACGTGGGGGGGCTCCGACCAGACTGCTCCTTCACTGAGGTGGACTTCTTAATGAACTGGCTTGGCTTTTTTTGCAGACCCCCAAGAGTCAAAGTGTAATGTGAACCCTGTGTGCAGGTAAAGGTGCCACCGGACCTGATACGGGATCCATGCAATCAGGCTTCCTGCCACGCCACACACACACGGCAGGAGGCACGATTGGGGGATTCAGCATTGGACCCCATCATCCCTCCTTGCCAGTGCAGGGGGGGACCAGGATGGTAGGAAGATCCTGTTGCTGGGAGCCCCCTCAGCTGATAGGGATCCTGTCACTGGGAGTCCCGTCAGATGAGGGGGAACCCAGCTACAGGGGCACACCTGGCCACACATTCAATTGATGGTGTGATAGGAACCAGCCACAAAGGTATTCTACCTTTTTGGTGGAATAACATCTTACTCCTCATTTCATCACATCATTGACTGATTGAGCATGTGGCTGGGTCACAACTTAAGATGTCATCAACTGGTTAATCACGCCTTAAGTGTGATACATGGCAAGGACCTTGGTCTGATACAACTATAACCAACTTTTTTTTTTTTGTTAAAGCCAAACTATACACAAGCCACTCTCATACCAGCATGTGCTCAAGGGGGTTCCACTGGTGACATGTGGCAAAGTCAAGACTACAGACCTCTACCTGCAAAGACACAGGATTTGTGCTTACGTTGATGCTCTGAGCAGTCCTCTTGCCACTCACAACACCTGAAGTTATTCCCCCAAAGAGGTTTTTGCAAGATGGGGGCCTTAACTCTGATAGCCCTTCAAACAGAGGCATTAGTTTTAACCCTCAGATGATTATACCCGTGCTTAACCTTACTACCGATTTGTTCTATTAAGAGAGGTAGTTTTCTATGTTAGTCTGAAGTCAGAAGGCAGGGTAGATATGTACTTTAATAAACTAAATAATATGTACACACACACATATATACATGCACACATACATATATACATACATATACACACATATATATATACATACATATACACCTGGCCTGTATACATAGCTTTGTGAAAGGCATTAAGCCTCATTCCATGTTCCATTAAGCCAGTGATTCTCAACCTTTGAAGAGTGCCCTGAGGTACAAACAGATAAGGGAGGTGGCAAGAGATAAGCAGATAAACACAGGCTAAGGCTTGTCCCTGTCTGGACATCACCAACTCCTACCCCCGGCTCCTCCAAAAGGAGCATTGTGATATATACATTATTTTTTTAAACTGAATGCCACTTAATTCATGAGAGCTATCGAGGGGTGCCTGCCACAAGACCAGTGAGGGGTGTCTTCAGTCCAAAAAGGTTGAGAACCACTGCATTAAGCTCAGCAGGGATCCTCCCAGAAGTCAAGTGCATACTAAAGTGTCTGCAGGACTGGATGCTATTTCCTAGTAAAGCACATGTTGATTTTGAGGCAGGTCCACATCATTTTCTCCCAGGTCATTCAGGTTCCTCCTAAATTTGATTTTTAGAGGGGAACACTGAGGGCATTTATTTTCTCTCAAGCCAGGTATGTACACCCCTGCAAACCCGATTCAGCAAGAAAACCCATGTGTACCAGACCCACTGCCCACATGATTCCTCTTTCAGAATCAGGACCTTGCTGAGCATTTATAATCTCATTAATAATAAATATGTGCCATGCATCCCCTGTGTAGCTGCTGGAATGTTAACCATAGTTCTCCCTCTTTATGCAATAACCCTTTTAATTACTACACAGACTATTTTGTAAACAATATAATAAAATATCTAATCAAAACCCACAAACTACATATCTACAACTTCGTTCTCTTCTCAGCTTCATCAGTGCAGTAGGAGCACTTGTTTAGCCCATGCTACAAATAAATTTTGGCTCTGTCCACTAATGTTTGGTAGTTGGGCCTCCAATGTGGCTTTTCAATTGATTCTACAATAAAGTAATAACAACTAACTCTGCTTAATGAATTTCCTGCATGTTTTCTTTTACTCTTCTAAATCTGAAAACTCATTCTGGTTCAATCTACTAGCAAAAGAGGGGATTTTAGACTGTTAGACCTAAGGGAATTTTGTTTATATGATATGTTATTATATATATTTCCTCTTCATCCTATGTCACTTTTTTAAGGCAGGATCCTGCAGGCAGGCACACAGAGATCTGCCTCCACAGAGGTGCTTGGGGTTTGGGGCTACAAGCTCAGGGCTTTAGGGACTTCACAAGAAAGTTCTCCCAGAATAAGGAAGGATGTGGATTTTAAAGCAGAACTGCTTCTCTGAAGTAACTGCATGTGCAGACACTCTTTTTATGGACTATTTTCTACTTAATTAAACAAATAAACAAGACCTTAACATTTAAAATCTTCCAGGCAAAGAGTGTACCTACTTTTGTGTTTTAAAAGTATTTTGAATGATTTAGTCCCAGTTCTAATTATGGCTTCTAATTGCCACTTTAATATAAATAAATAAATAAGCTTTGGAGACACTTTGAAAGACAGAAAGGTCATTTTGATAAATTAGAGAAGGGGGCTTCTTCTAATTTATCAAGATGTAAGTAAAAGCCATTCAAGGGAAACCATGAAGGAATGAAAATCAAAAGCACAAAGTTCGAATGGGGAAATACTGGAATAATACTCCAGAAAAGGAGACGGAGGTCACAGTGTATGAGTCAAACCGTGTATGAGTCAACAGTGCTGCTTCTCCCATAAGAAGCAAATGCTACAGCATCTTGGGTTGTATTGACAACCGTATCATGTGTTAAGCAAGTGAGGTAATTTGTCTGCTGTGCTTGGCATTGCTTAGGCTTCCTTTGGAGTAATGCGCGCAGTTCCCAGCAACCTGGCAGGAGTTCAGAGGAGATCAGCTATTAAAAGGGGGGGTTGTGAAATGGAATTATGAGTCAAGGTCTCAAAAGCTAGGCATGTCCAGTCTGCATTGCTCAGATGATTGATACATTTTTCGCATTTATAAAATAATAGCAATCACAACAACATTGATTGGGGGGAAGGGGACATGATAAAATTCCACAAATGCTCACAGGCAAGTTATAAACCAGACTGAGATCTGATTAGTTGAAGGTAATTAAAACTGAGCTCTAGGCATGTGAGATTTTCAGATAGATCTAATAACATAGACCCCTGTACTTATGTACAGCTGTTAACATACAGCCCTGCATCTCAGGCTATGAATTGGTGCAAAGGTCTAGGATAGCTGAATTGAAGGTTTATAACATCAGCTAATCCCCTGCTCTTCATGCACATAAAATCCCCCTAGCACTTTAGGTTAATGTAGGAGATTTGACCCAGATTTTCCTGTACTTTTCTACCAGAACTTCTTCCTTCCTGTGAAAAACTGTTCCTCATTTTTGTCTTTCAGAAAGACAGGGCTCCACCCCAGAGCTGGCTGCATTTTTGGTGTGAAGAAATTCCTATATCTAGCAATTTACATACTGTGGAATCTTTAGGGATAAAAAAAAACAGTATATAAATGTAAAATGAGACTAGGAATTATTATCCATGAAAGTACAAACCAGATTCCTGACCCACCTCATTAATGCCAAGTTTAGATGTTAGTGTGCTCTTTATAATTCATACGTTGCTGCTGAATTTAGTATTTACAACACCAGGTCCTCAAAGATCATAAGCCAGATCCCCAAAATCTCAGGACTGTCTTAAAAACCATGAAAATATTTGAGAAACTAGGTATGGGTTATTTTTTCGGTTCTGGTAATTCAACTTTTAGGGTTCACATTTTCCAGTTTTTCTCCACCAAAATGAGGAAGAAGAAGAAAAGGCAAAGGAAAAAGAAGCTGCATCTCCTGTATCATCCCATCACTTAAAGAGCTGAGGCTTTATAGCAAACATCAAATGCAGACAGATTCAATAAAACACTAAGAGATGCCAATTTTGTATGTCATATAGAGCAGTGATTCTCAACCAGGGTGCTGGGGCACCCAGGGGTTCTACAAGTTCCTTTGAAGGATGCCATGAGGTATGAGGAGACGAGCAGATAAGTGCAGGCTCAGGCTTAGTTCTTGTCTGGCCCATCTTCCTACCCCACTGCCCACCCCCTCGGCAAGTTGCTAAGAACTGTAATAAACAAGTTAGTTTTTGTAATTAGGTGACACACAAGTTACAAAAGTGATGGAGAGGTACCCTGAATCTGATGAGGGGTCCTTTGCATCTAAAAAGATTGAGAACCACTAGAACAGAGTACAAATCTATTGGCATTGGGGTGTTGGTTGTAGCCGTGTTGATCTAAGGACATAGGGAGACAAAGTTCTTTGGGTAGATGTGGTATCTTTTATTAAACCAACTATAGATGGGGAAATTGTT